CTACCCAACCTATAGCTGGAATGAACTCTGTGAAATACCCTGAATTCATTTATGCTACTGTTTAAGCAGCAGGTGAGTTACAGCTGAACATTACCAGAAAATTACTGATCTAATCTGAGATACTGTGTAAATTCATATCATTCATGCTGAGTAATGATGAATAAAGGATTAAACAGAGTTTGTGAGATTTCCAGAAGTAAGAAAACTGTCCTATTTTAAAAAGGAGGAAAAAAGTCAATTTGTTTTGGCAAAAGACATAGTCATTCTTTAAAGGTAGAGAGAAATGTAAGAGAACTTAGAGAAAAATGCTGGCCCAAAATTTGACAAGTGTGAACTGGCTAGAAATTAGAAGTCTGCACATCAAGAGTGAGATTGACTGCAGGGAAGTATTCTACCTGTTCTAAAGAAGGCTTGCTAAAAGTGTTGTTGCCTGTGACTGGCTATGACATGGCAAAACATTTAACTCTAATACAGAATCACATTTGAAATCCTAGCAGTGTTTTGTAGTGAATGTTAACACAATATTTATGAGCAGGGCATTTGGAGCAGACCAAGGCAAGTTCTGGCTATCAGAAAGAATCGCTGTTTCATTTTGTAGAGCTTAACACCACTTGACCCTCTTGTACCCCTGTTAACATACTGCTTATTCTTAAAGCACAGGGAATGTTGGAAAAGCTGAAACTGGTACAACAAACTAATTAAAAGCAACAGCAGATGAGCTGAAATCTGTCCTGTTCATGGACCATAATGTCACAGGCTGCTTGGTGCTGACAGTAGCTGCAGCAGAAATGGTGTTTTTCCTCTCTGGGGAAAAGGGCAGCATGACTGGGATGAGTGTGACTACAGTGGCTCAGGGTTACATCATTAACTTAACTCCTGGATCCCTCTGCCTGAAATAACACAGCCCCTTTATGGATCCTGGCAGCTCCCTTTTGACTCGGAGGGCATCAAGCTGCCCACATTTCAAATTCTGCCACCTTATGATGAGCTTTCTGTTGTTCTGAGAAGAGCAGGAATGTGATGTGCCTAAAGCTGAACTGCTTTATCTAATTTGATATTATGAAGCTGTTAATAAAAAAAACTGGAGGCACTTTTTTTATAAAACACCCTGCATTTCAAGGGAAATTCCCTTCCCCATAGCCAAGTGCAGAGCAGCAGCAAGGTCACTTAGAAGAGCAAATCCAGGCCTTTTCTCTCTTGCTGTTAAATCTTGGGTGAAATATATGCTGTCAGCCAGCCCCTGAGATTAATAGTTCTATTTGCTGTTCAGTATATTTGAGGCACTCCTATTATTAATGTAATTTGGGAAGAACTTAAAGTTCTCAAGGCCTTTTTTAGAATATGTACATGTGCTGGTAAGATTCTTTCTAACATCTTATAAAAGGCAACATAACATGGCAAATTTATCCCTGTATAATTGTGCTCAGAAATATATGACTGACATATTTCTCATTCAATAATTATCCCTTATAGCTCTATTTGTTCTCACTTTACCTGCTTTAATTAAAAATAATTATCTAGAGATCAGAGATGCATTAAATCTTCCTTTGGAATTTATAATATATTCCCATTATTCTGGATGAGTCATATATTATTTTCTTCATAAAGCAGAAACATGATCTTGTGCCACTAGTAGTTTTAAAGCAGTGTATGCCTTACCTTTTAGTGTTCCGGTAGAGTACGTACAACTGTAAGGTATCAGCAAAGTTTCTCATGTCTCCTTCTAATAGGACAATGTCTAGATCAGTTAGTACAATTTTTTACTTCAAGCAGTAGGCATGGATACTGAAATTGAAACTTGTTTACATCCTTTTGTTATGCTGGTGTAACAGGCAATTGCATTATACTCCAAAAACTGTACCTTAGAGTCCTGATCACAGAACACAAGATGATATTTTAGTTGCATTTTAGTGAATTCCTTTAATTTGTAACAAATGCATTATTACAAGGTAGGCTGTAAGATTAAAATCTCCTTAACAAGTACATTTCCATATACCTTAATGTTTTTCAGTACTCTTGTCTTAGGTTGGAAATGGAGGTGTGTATTCTATTCCTATCTGATGGGGCAGTTATCTTCTGTTCATTGGGCAGTTTTCTTTATCTCTTCCACAACCAATCCTCCCTCTGGGAGATCTCTTCTGTTAATAGGCCATTAATTATTAATTATCTCCTGTTCATGGCCACTGAGTGTCCCTGCATGGCTGAGAAAATTCCATCATCCCACGGGAGATGCTCTGCCTAGGGGAGGAGCCAAACATTCCTACCTGGATCCAATCTGACCTGGGAACAGCACAGCAGCCTTTGCCCCCTGCATTCCCAGAGGAGCAGCTTTCTTCCCACTGCATTCCCAGAGGAGCAGCTTCCTTCCCCCTGCATTCCCAGAGGAGCAGCTTTCTTCCCCCTGCATTCCCAGAGGAGCAGCTTTCTTCCCCCTGCATTCCCAGAGGAGCCCAGGCCCATCTCCCCCAGCCCTGGAGCTCCAGAGGAAAACTCCCCCCTTGTGCAGATCCTGCTCCAGCAGAAGCACAGCTGGCACTGCAGGAGGGCTGAGCCCCCCTGGGATGGGGCTGAGCCACCTCCCTGACCCACAGGGTGTCAGGCTGGATTCTGACTCTGACAGTGTTGTTTTGTATTACTGTATTGTTTATTTAATTTTTATTTTCTTCCCTAATAAAGAACTGTTATTCCTGCCCCCATATCTTTGCCTGAGAGCCCCTTTAATTTCAAAATTATAACAATTCAGGGGGAGGGGGTTTACATTTTTCATTTCAGGGGAGCCTCCTGCCTTCCTTAGCAGATACCTGTCTTTTCAAACTAAAGACAACCCTGTATATAGCAGGTAGCAAGGGGAGATTGGATTTTCTTTACATTTAAACTGAATATATTCCTGCATTCATCTTACATCTGTGGCTTGGCAAGTTCTCTCACCAGTTGCCTCATTACTGGGGGGTGGATCCCATCAGAGCCCACAGACTCATGAGTATCCAACTGGCAGAGCACATCAATAACCAAGCCCTGGTCACAGGGGTGTGGCAAGCACATTTATCTCCCTCTCAGGATTTTTCATAGAGGTGCACAGAGAGAAATGAAAGAAAATTTCTATTTCTGCTCCTTGTTTTTCCTATGTGAAATGTGTTTGGAGAATTGTTTACCTGAAGTGAATACTTGATTGGATTCTGGTGAGGATTGTTTGAGCCTGATGGCCAATCCAATCCACCTGTGTCTGGACTCTCAGAGAGGGTCACTAGTTGTGTTAGACTTAGAGAAAGTAGTATGTAGTTTTACTGTCTTCCTTTTTATATAGTATATTAATGTATTTTAGCATAGTTATAATAAAGAAATCATTCAGCCTTCTGAATTGAGTCAGACATTGTCATTTCTTCCCATTGGGTTCACCTGCATTTACAATACAGGGGCTTCACTCAACTCAACATTCCAGCTCTGGGGGCTGGGTATCCTCAGGACAACTGGCCCTGACATTAAAGACTGAAAAAAGAATGCACCTCTGGATTTTGTTCCCCATCCCCTGTCACTACACCACCCTCTGCTTATAACAAATGAAGGCCTTGCCTTTCCCAGCAACCCCTGGCCTTCCCTAGCCTCCCTTGAACCGCCTTCCCTTGCCTAACCCTTCCTTGCATTTCCTAGCCTCCCCTGTCCCTTCCTTGCCTTCCCCTCACCTTCTTTTCCTGCACCTGCTTGCTTTGCCCAGCCCAACCTTCCCATGCCCTGCCTCACCAACACCTCCCTTGCCTTGTTTCCCCTTCCCTTGCATACCTGTGCCAGCTCCAGTCTTTATCCCAGCCCCACAAGCTTTATTTCACTGCCAGTTCTGCTCTTTCAGCTCCAGCTCCACATCTTCCCAGCACTGCCAGGTGAAAAGGTTGTCAGTGAAGGATTTTCTTTATGGCTCCAGCTCAGCAACACTTCAGCTCCCATCCCACCATCTTCATCCCAGTCCTACACTCCCTATCCCAGTCCTAAAATAGTTTTGTCCCCAGCCCTTCCATCTTTCTGTCAACCAGCTCTGCTACCTGAGCTCCAGCTTCTCATCTTCCCACTGCCTCCAGCTAAAAGCTGTTCCTGGTTCTCACTGCACCTCGGGGCTGCTGACAAGGCCACAAATGAGTCATTGTCATCACTTAAACATATCTATAAGCTGTTACCCATCCCCAGGAGGATCCCCCACTTTGGTGGGAACAGCCTGGCTCTTCTGGGGCTGGTTATGAACAGCCCTGAGAAATGCACTCCTGGTTTGTGCTTGATATCATGCTGGGGCCTGGAGGTCCCAAAGCACCTCCTGCAGCCCCTTCCCCATGGGATTTATTTCAGTTCCACATCACTTTGGGGCTGGGTCCTGTGTAGGTGAACACAATTGGTGTTTCAGCCTGACCACCTTTACTTAATGGGCATCATGCATCCAGTAACAGAAAAAAAAACCAAGTACCAAAAATCCAGTAATGCCATAGTATAATACATTAATCATAGACTAGTATCTAGAACGCTAAAACAACAGAAGGTGGTAGTAGCAGAAAGTGAAAGTAGAACAAAGCAATAATAAAGCAAAATGCGTTTATAGCCCGTATTTTTCATGCTACTTTAACCTCCAGAACCCCGCGGGGCCACAACCCAGCCCTCGCACTCAGTGAGCCGCCTCAGGGCAGCGGCCGCTTCTCCTGCCACCCCTGAAGGCCCCGCACCGGCCTCTGGCGCCGCCGCTGCCGTATTCCCCCGCAAAGTAGAGCAGGGGGGTTCACGGCCTCTCCCCCGCGGGGCACACCGGAGGCCGGACCGGGCCAGCAGCACCGGCCCAGAACAGCGCCCACGCAAGGCCCCAGGCGCGGCTCGGACCGCTCCCGCTGCCACAGCAGCAGCACCGCCCGCCTCGGTGACCCACAGCCAGACTGAGGGCAGCGCCCACTAGCGCACATTTATACCCCGCGGCACGGCCAGTCCCGCCCCGCCCCGCCAGCACAGCCAATCCCAGCCCGAGGCAGAGCCCGGCCCCACCAATCGCGGCCCGCCCTTTCGTCTCCCCGAAGCCCGCGTCCCCTCAGGCCTCGCTCCCACCCGCTCGCCGCTCGCTCCCATCCCCGGGAGAACTCCCGGCCGGCGCGTGGACAGGAGCCCCCGCCGGCCTTTCCCGGGCCCCAGCAGCACCTCCCGGGGCAGCGGCAGCGCGGCCCCGCCGGCTCCAGAAGCCGCGGCGGTAGGAGCGGTAGCTGCGCCTTGGAGGAGCCGGGCTGAGGGGCGGAGTTTGGCGGGCTCGGGGCCGTTTGAAAGGGCGGCTGTGATTGGGCGGGGCGGAGAAAGGCGGGCCGGGATTGGCGGGGAGCGGGGTGGGTGGGGCCGGTGGCGCTGAGGGGGCGGCCCGGGGCCTGCGGCAGGGCCGAGAGAGGCGCTGGAAGGGTCGAAGTGTGGGGATGGAGCGAGCTTTAGTGTTGGGAATTTCTGCAGGGAAAAATAGCCCCCAAACCTGCTATACGGAGCTGCTGTTACACCCTTTATGTGAGAAACTGCATTGACTTGTTTGTTCATCAAAAGTATGAAATTAGGATAAAAGGGGGGGAAGTCGGGACATGGAATTTGCAGGCTTGACTGGTAACCACAAACAAAGATTGTGAAAGATTTTGCAGGACTGGCTGGAACTGATAACCGCAGTGGAAACCCATTGTTACTGAAAACTGATAAACCGCAGTGGAAAGAGACACACCACCCCACTTGTGAAATCCATTGTTTTTAGGACTGATAACCACGGTGGAACGAGACTCATCACCCCCACTCATGCAAGATAAAAAGGGACTGAAGAGAAGGAAAGGTTGTCAGCTTTTGGCGGAGCCAGGCTCCCAGCTGAACCCAGCGCTGTTTTGCTTGCTATCGCTTGCTGTAATTAATAAAATTATTAATTGATCTTAACAGGCTGAATCAAATTATTCGCCTCAACTTATAACACTTTATACACATGATCCAACTCCCCCAAACAAAATTCCAGACAAAAAGCAGAACGTATTCTATACGCACAACTTTTTTAACCTTATTATCTGGAGTTAGTTAGGAGATATGATGGGTTTGGGTAATTCCTGGACTTCTTTTACACCTTTGACATGACTTATTGAAGATGCTGCTTTATTTTCGGGTTTGGGTTTTTTTTTTTTTTCAGAATGTATGGAAGAAATTCATAGCATGTAAAAGATTGCATTTTAAATAAAGAGCACACAAAACAGGGCAGTCGTTACTGAGAGAAGACAAGAAGTGTTGCCATGGAAATTATTCTAATTTGTGATCCACTACAACAACAAACACTTAATTTTTTTTTTTTGTTCTACATCTAGATCTCATTGGAATCTTGCAAATAGTCAGCCGTACTGCATTATGATTTCATAGACTTCATAGATGTATTTTTTTGTCATGGTTTTTAAAAATAGAATAACTAAATTTAGATTTTAACAGCTCTGAAGTTTGAGGTAGTTCATGTCACACACTGAACTTTTAGGTAAAATCCTTGTTTTATTAAAAGAGGGGTTTGAGCAGTGGTGGAAAAAGCAATATAATTCCAGAAATATGCAACTAATTTTCAGATTTGTTGCCCTACCATTTCATTCAATAGAAGAAATTTTGAGATGTATATTGACATTAAATAGCCAGTCTTTGAACCTATGATTAAAATATTTACCTATGCTTGAGAGCTCAGATTGTAGCCTAGAGCCACATTTCCTGTGCAACCTTTGTACAACCTTCCATTATTCTGCTCACAAAAAATATACTCAAAAATGCAGTTTCATGACAGCAGCAATATTATAGATTATTTCCAGTGAATTAATTGCGAATTGCTTTTGTTTATTCACTATACTATGATAGCAATTATCATTCTGCATCTGCAACTCAGGGCTTTCAAGAATTTCAAAAATGCCCATTTTTGAAAGTCTACTTTTCACATTCCAATTGTGTTTTCTGGAGTAAGGTGAATTGAGAAGAAGAATTTTAGTTGGCAGTTAGGTGGGTTGTTGCTTTTTTGTTTGTTTGTTTGGGTTTTTTTTTGTTTGTTTTTTGGGTTTTTTTGGTGGTTTTTTTTTTGTTTGCTTGTTTTTTAGTAAAATCTAAGCTTCCATTACTGGTTAAATAGAAAGGTAATATTTCCAATACAGAAGAAATATTAGCAAGAAGGCATTTTGAGCACAGATTTTAATATAGATCCATTTCCTCCTCTCTTTGAGGCAATAAGAATTGATTTTAAATAAGGATGTTTAAGATGGGAAATTTTTCACCAGGAAACACAGCATGTGGTTGGAACAGTAATTGCAATATTTGCCTTAAAGTCCAATTATAAAACTAATCCAAACATCAGCATTTCATTTTGTTACTTTCATCAGAAATTTACTTCATTTTACTAAAATGTTTGTTTTTAAAAGATTTATTATGAGTTGTTCATTTCCACATTGAGTTTTTAGATTTATTTGCATAATATTACCTATAGCAGCAATATAGATAATATTCCAGTGTTATAAAATTGAACATTAAAGAAAAATATGAGTATACAGCACTTTCATAAAGCAATTAATTTGCTGTGTATGGACCTCATTTAAATCTGTGATAGTGGCATGTTAATATTTGCAAAATAGCATCATCAGCTGTAGGAATCTCTGGACCCTTGTTAATATAGATAGTGCTACTTTCCCCAAAAAACCTCTTTGAATTCAGTGAATTGTTTATTCAAATACGTATTTCTGCATCAGGTTAGTCATGTACAATGCTAGTAGTTTATTTAGCTGTTGATTCTTTTCTTACGTATATGCAGTCTAAAAAGACTCAAATCCCTGGATTATTTTTTTCAGTTATATTGATGGTTTACATTTTGAAAAACAGCCATTACATTGTAGTACATTTTTTAAAAACCTACATTTTTGAAAAGACTTTTCTTTTGAATACAGTCTGCTGAAGTGTAATTTTAAAAACCTGTGTAGTTGGAATCTGCAGTTTCAATGATAGCTGTGATTTTATTTGTAATTTGCAGACTGTCTGAGGTAAAAAAAAGAGATCTCACTCTTTTAAAATCTAAGGGACTTCAAGACAAAGAAAGAAGTTCAACTGCCACAATATCATTGCAAAAATAAAATTGGGCACAGCAGATTCTTCCATCTGCAGCCCAGAGCCAAGGAGCAGCCCACAAGTCTGGACCAAACAATGCCAGTTCGAGTGGGTGGCTCTGCTTAGTGCCAGTCTGCATGGAGCACCCAAAAACAGCAAGGAGAAGGCCAAGGCATGGCCTTAAGTGGGATGTTGGTAGAAAAGGGCAGAACTAAAATGACTCCAAGTATGGACTGTCTGAAATAAAAAAATAGCATTGTAAAAATGTTGGTTTCTAGTCTGTCTACCACTCGTAATTTAAAAAACAACAATAATAAAAAAAAAAAAAACTACAAAAATAACCCCACATAATTTCTTGCCTTTTCTTTGTTATTCAACTTTTTTCATGAACTGGCTTTCTCAAATAATTAGCTGGGAGCTCTGGCACTTTGGTACTTGGATATACTTGTGTTCATCCCCTGGATAAGTGATGTACAGAAACAATGTAAGCAACAAAATTAGTGGGGGAGCAGAATGGCCCAAATATTCTGCAGTGCTGCCAATTTTCAAAGTAAGATTTTTTTTTTTCAATATATTAGTCAGACTGAAAACTAGTTTTCTTCTTTCCATGCTAGGTGAGATGCTTAAAAGCTCTTTAGCTGTGGTAGAGGTGAACTGTTCATACTTTTGCCTGAGAGCCCCCCTTCATTTCAAATTTATAACAATTCAGAGGGAAGGAGTTTACATTTTTCCATTTCAGGGGAGACTCCTGCCTTCCTTAGCAGACACCTGTCTTTCCAAACCAAGACACCCACTTTTCTCCACAGCAAATCTGAGTTGGCTCTGAGTTGGTAATTGGAATAATTTTGACTATTCTGGCCCTTGACGTTCTCTTCTGCCCATGTGCATTGTCTGATTGCTCAGTCCTAGTCAGAGGCTTTGAGTATTTTAATGGTCTTGGTTTGCTCAGAACTCAGTGCTGAGCCAGTGAGCCTTTATGAGGCCTTCAAGTTATACTGTAAATTAAGAGTAAGAGCAGCAGACAATCTGTTAAAAGTATGTTTGGCTTCCTTCCCTCTCAGCTGAGCAGGACAGAAAAGTTTACCACTCAGGTTTTGATGCATTTACTGCCTTACACAAGATGGCCATTCGTGTTGATCAGAGGCACTTTTTTTCTGGTTTTGTTAAATTTCTTTTTAAAATGTTGTCATTTACAAAGAGATAAACAAGCTGTAAATAAAAATTCATAGGTTTTTTTACAGTTCTGACAACAACTATAAACAATTAAGGCTTCTCAAATCACTCATTAAAATCTAATGCTATCTAAAGTTCAGGGATCAATGTATCCATTTAGTAAACATACCTTTTTGTACAAGCTTTTAGCCCTCTCGTATTAGCATTCAGGTAGAATCATTACTGAAGTATTCTAAATATATATTGGCTTTTAAGTATATATCTGGCTTTTAAGTTTATACCCTTCAAATTAATAAAAGTCCTTCCATTTATGACATCATGTTTTGCAATGACTGTTTTTAAAATGCTTTCCTTTCCTTGTATTTTTATCTTTTAATGTAGTTAAAAATAAGAATTGTTAAAGCTGCTTCTAAAATGGAAAGCTTTCTTTTGTTTGGCCACAATATAAAGAGGACACTTAAAATTAACAACTCAAATCCTTTCATTGCTTACATATTTTTAAAATTTCAGTCTAATAATTTTTTTGCACAGCAGTATTTCCATTAGTTCTGTGTCTTGCTCCAGCTAGACCAATATACCTTTATACCTGCTGTGTATACCCTACCCATGGCCTTGTTAAGCCTTGCTACATATACAGTCTTCAACTTTCCTCATAAAGAGATTATCAGGGTTATTTCAGCCTGAGATAGGGAGATATTTTCTTCAACAGAGAATTGTAGCATGATGTTGGAGGTGGAAATAATTTAGAACTGTCCATTTAAGTCTATCTTATTTCTTTTTTTTCTTTTTTTTTTTTATTTAAACTGAAATAATATTTTTGCTTTAAGGTCGTCTTTTAAAAGGGATTTTATGAGCAGGTCATTCCACTTTACTGGATTTAGTAGAACTGAGGTATCTCTTCACTGCAGATTTGTTACTAAAAATATACTTGTTTCACAATTTGCTTACCCATAGTTTTGTCACTACTAAAACAAATGCTGTTCCAGAATCCTCCTGTGAACTTAAAATAAGTATTCATTACCTAGACAATCTATGATTTCGTTTTCACCCTTGTCTATGTATCTGAAAAACTAGTTTTACATGTAATGCTTACAGCCCTCCCTTTATCATTACCCATCTTGATCTGGATAGTGATCTCGATTTGAATCTTAATAGGGAAGATTAAATAGAATAAATGAAGCCTGAAAAACAGCCTTGGCAGACACATAACTGGATGTGCATACAGAGAGATAATTGCCCTCATCTCTTCAGCATCCACTGATGTTGTGGTTCAGCTGATGTTCACAGCCCAGGGCTGCAGCAGTTGGCTTGGAAGGGTGGGATTGGACTGACAACTGAGCACAGAGCTTTTTTATTTCATACAGCATCTCTGAGTGACTTTGTGTGTCTGAATATCTTATATATGGACAGAGAGACACACATAGGCAAATATATGTACACATTTACAGGTTTTCTTTTCCAAAATTTATCAAATTTTATGTTTATTGATATCACTACACAAGAATTATTTAAGTGTAATAAACATTCAGGGTTAAGTGTTTCAGTTTCTCATCATGCTTCCAGTTCTGACCATAAGAAATAGGTAGAAGTTGGCAATTTGGCTTCAAGGTATAATCACTCAGCCATATTCACCCTAATTAATAATGAATGTTAAACTG